ACATATACACATTTTTTTTCTTCACAATTTCTTAACAGAAATTTTTTATTAGTTTTGTAAAGTCAAAAATACAGCAATTGTTTGGTCTACAGCAATTGTGTTGTCTATATATTATGGTGCTTATATATTATGCCAAAAGTACATTAATTTATTGTTTATATATGCCATTAAAAACGCCATAGTTTTGTTTATATAGTATTGTATAGAAGTGTGAATATTTAAATGCGCATTCGATGAAATACAATAATTTTGTCGAGTTGAAAAAAATATTAGATGCTAATAAAATACAATTTCGGCATTCTACGTCCTTCGCTATGGTTTAATTAATGTGATGGCGATATAAGTCCGGATTAAATATTAAAAAATAATGATTGATGTGAAACATTGTAATTGTTCGACGATAATTATAACTAACATATTGATATATATATTTCGCTTTGTGGTAACGACCGTGGTGATGACCGTCAGATCGGTCACAATTTTTAACCGAGTAAGGCTGCGTTCGAAAACGTCACTCGAGTACTCTCCCTCTCTTTTTATCTCACTCTTATATTTCGCTCACTCCAATGGCTATCGTCTAGTAGTGTGCACACAGTGTGTGTTTCCGAACGCAGTATAGTAGTGGTTTGCGAGAGTGTACATCGGCACATATGCCCTTATTGTCAAGGGAGGGGACCACTACCAGCTTTACCCTTGGGATAGGGTAGCATGGTTCTTACTAAAGGCCACTCTACAATTACGTAAGCGTGGTCGTGAAAATAAAAACCATCCAATCAAAGTGTTTTATTCACTGATGCTTCATTCTGGTTGGTTGCCGTGACTACTTACGACCACGCTTACGCAATTGTAGAATGGTCTTTCTATAAAATCTAAAGGCTAGTGAGACGACACGTGATGGGAAGCGGGGAAGTGGTTGAGATTCTCGCGGGTATAAAATTTGGAGCTCAACATGATTTTACTCAGTATTATTTTGACACATACCCGGATATAGTGGAGGCTTGCTCGATGGTCGTGCGACAAGCCGTTCGTCGTGGCTCCGCGAACCCTGCTACAGGGCGCTCGACTAGCTAAACCGCGCGAAATATCGCAAGTCTCCTCCGCTTTATCCCAAATTGACTATTTCGGCTTGACTATGCGCACTCCGAAGGGTGCTCGCAACCCAATAGAAAAATGTATATGAAAGATACGAGAAGACACGCACGAGAGATGATACACGTAAACAAGGCGACAGATACACGCAGAATTCACAAAACGGTAAGTAACGTATGCATAATAGAAACGCGACGCACGCAACAAAGATACACACGAACGCACGCAATCAGAAAGTTTGCAACCTATCAAATCTTAGAATTTATTGAGCGCTAGTTTCAGCCTAAATCGCGACGAACCTCCACACAGTGCTGCGATTCGCGAGATTTTCTCCGCGACAGGAGGCCTTCTGCGGATTCGTACAGGACGTGGCAGTCTACTATTGGATATCGTATCATTTGCGCATGCGCAGCAGACTTTTTGCCGCGGATAAAATCTCGCGAACTCGCAGCACTGCCTCCACACGCTATACGCCAACCATTTACAATAGACAACCGATCATATACTAACAAGGGGAACACCATATGACTGCTCTGGGAATTTTTATACGCCTTTTACAGGCTGTTTTTGGGCGAAAAAAAGACAAGATTTGAACACGCACCTACTGCGTACGAAGCCAACCTTACCTACTGCGCTACCGCTGCTGCTGATTAATAGTGATAGTCGAACGTATCAAAGGTGCCGCGGTTGACTAGAGTCATTTTTAAAAATCGATTTTTTGGAAACTATGGCCCATTGGCTAAAATGGCCGGATACGTGTCGTTTTTTCGCCCAAAAACAGTCTGTAAAAAGCACATCAAAATCCCCGGAGCAGTCACTTGGTATTCTCCTTGTGACTACACCGATCGACGAGCCCGACGGGAAAGACGACCGAACGTGGAGCGACGTAATATTCGCCGGAATCCTCGCCCGATAAAGCCCAATCCAACCCTGTGGCCGTCGAGAAGCGACGGTAGCCACGATATCAAAAATTACGCAAAAGCTCGGCGTTCTCAAAACGCGCAACTCGTGGCTATATATCTTTATCTCACCAAGTTATTAGAAATCACATTTCCCTCCTTCATGTTCTTTGAGCCAGACATCCTCGCTCGTCATTTATTTTTTCTGATGCGACTCGCTATCGATTTTCCAAGCAGTGGTGAGCTCACGGTCAGCCGGAAGCTTGCAAGGTCTAGGATCCTAGCCGATTAATAACTGATTACTGAGACAATTTCGGGCATCATAAGAGCCTCGAAATATGGATTTTCTTCCCGGCCTTTGTTTCTCCTCAGGGAATTGGTAGACACTATCTATGTAGCTCGAGGCTTCTTGGCGATTAGTTGGTTTTGAGTTCGACAGGGAATCCCTTCTCGGCAAACCCATCGACCAATTGTCCTCTCGCGTTAATTTTTGAAGCCCCGACCATCCCGCAGGATCTCGCGCATCGTGTCGCGCGCGAGATAGCATCCCTGCTCCCTCTACCGTTTCGCCTACCGTGTATTGGCGAATTCTGGCAAATCCGAGTCTGTTCATCCCTCGGCTCTTCCACGAATCCTAGTCAGCACGCCCCTAGGCTTCGCTCGCTTACCCTGCTTTCCTCCTTCCGCGTCTTTCTGCGCTGCCCTTCTCCGTAAGACTTGGTGAGTATTTAGAAAATGATTATTAGCCACGGGTTGCCTCGTGCGCAAGGGGTGTACGATGCCAAAATTTACGCTCGCTCGGTCGCTTTCCCCTCTTTCTCGTGGAGGCGAAGGAAGCGCGAGTTCCCGATTGTTTTCCCTTGGCCGGGCGTTGTGTGTATGTGTGTGTGAGGGTGACAAGTAGTCAAAATTCATCATATCACAAAATGTAACGACTCGGTAACAGACTAGAAAAACACAAAATGCTATTATACATTCAGTCGCGTATAATCAAGATACACTGAGAGTGTATCTTTACTTAAATCAAATATTGTTTATTTAAATCAAGTAAACAATATTTGATTTAAGTAAAGATAATGTAGATTTAAGTAAATATGTTAATGGCATCCACCAAGGAAATATTTGTTGATTTTAAGATAATTTTTCTCTCAGTGTAAAGGATTCTTTTTGTACATACATTCCAGATCTTCGAAAGACGATCGAATATGCTCTTGTGAGTAGCACAATTTTAAGAGCGTTATATCTATATTATTTTTTGTCGGTAATGGTAGGTTTAAGGGGTGAAATTACCCCTCAAAGTTTTATGTCTTTTTTAATATCTCTGTAACTATTGCAGATAGAAAAAAACTTTTTAGACAAAAGTTATGCGGTTTTTTATAAAAAATAAAATGGACTAAAAAGTTTTTAGTTTTGAGGATATTTTCACCTCTTAAACGTACATAGCTTCGATTTTTGGTACACATACATCTCCATATTTTCGTCTGTTTAGCTCAATTTAGCGACCTACCTTCAAGTCTAATAATCTTAGAAACAATTAGACATAAACCTAAGACATAAACAAGTCTACGAAAAATGTCTTGTTCTAGATCTGGCCACACTTATAATAAAGGCTGTAGCATCTTAAAGAAGATAAGGAAGACAATAGACTTTTTCTTCAATATAGTCCCATAGTTGCTCCATTGGGTTGATATCAGACGATCCCCGTGGCCATTCCAGCAATGTGTAGCAGTCTGTAGAATGTCGTGCTAACCAGTCAGTCACCATCTTAGACGTATGATAAGAAGCATTGTCTTGTTGAAATACACCATGACCCTCTGGATATGCGACGGCCATAAAGGGATGCACAAAGTTGTTAAGGATGTTTATATAGCTTGTGCTGGTTAGAGTAACGTCAATAGGTATCAGCGGACCGAACATCTCCCAAGAAAATATGCCCCAAACTACCACATTTCCGTCAGAGAATCGTGGATCATCGTTGCATCGCGATTTAAATACTTTTTTGCTTGACCATGCGACATTTTTCCAGTCATCCACAGTCCAGTGTTGATATCTTTTCGCCCACTCCAAACGTACACGTTTATTAACCCATTAACGCCCACAGGACAGAATTTCGACATTGAAGTTCGAGTTGATGCCGTTCAATGAATTTGAGAAAAACAAAGTTCCAAACTACCTTTTCCTATGTTTTTGAGGGTGCTCTTTCAAATGGTAATGGTTAAAAAATTCTTAAAAAATATTTAACCATGGAAAAATTAAAATTAATCCAAAGAAACGTCATTTTTCGCTTGCATTTTTTTTTTTGTAATGACTTTTCGTTCCCTTTTCATTTTTTTTATGACTTAAACCTATTCAGATCGTGGCCTCGATGTCTGAACTTAAAATAAATAAAGTTAGTAAGGTCTAAAAAATTGTTACTAAAACAAAATGGCGGCCTAATTTAAAATTTTTTTTTCAAAACTTTACGAATTTTTTTCTCGAAAACGATAGACTTTATCAAAAATTTTCTAAGAACAGAAATGTCTTAGAATTGATCAAAGAGTACTCTCAAATTTTTTCAGAATGTTCCGAAGCGATTTTCGATTTTTCAAAAAATCGTAAAATCGATATTTTGAAAAACTTCATCAAAAAATCTGAAAAAATTTGATAATATTCTTTGACCAATTCTGAGACATTTTTGTTCTTAGCAAATTGTTGATAAAGCCTATAGTTTTCGAAGAAAAAAGTTTTAAACTTTAAATTACATGAACTAGAAAGCGTTAGTGTACTTAGAAGGAGCTGTTTACATATTTTTGAATATTTTTCATTCCGTTTCGAAATTCACCATTTGAAAATTACCCATATATTTCAATTACACAAAAATTGCAAAAATAATGCACATTTGAATATTGCATTTCAAATCCAATAATTCGAACTGTAATTTTGGTTGATGAATTTCATGCTTTGATATATGACGATCAGAAGCAAATACGCATAAGTTATAGCGCATAATCATAATGGATAGATATTTAACGAAATTTTTGGTTTTGTGAAACATGCCTAAAAAAAGAAAAAGTGATCTTATTTGTGAATCTGATCCTAAAATAAAGCACAACTCGCAATCGGCAATGGTAACGCGTACTCGAAAGAAAAAAATTGAAGCTATTGACAAAGAGAATTTTATAGATGCTATTTATATTCCAGACTCAGATATTTCTGAAGAATCTGATTTCGATGAATCGTGTGACGAATCGGATGGTGACGATGGTTCTGAAGATAGTGTAACAGTGATTCGGAAACATAGAGATATAAGAATAGAGCGCGCGAGTCCTATACCCGTATGTAAGTGGGAGCGACAGAGGGTTAGAAAGAGAGCGCTGCAAATCAGGTCCATCTATCCTTGTCTTTTCGTGTAAGAGTGGGGAGACTGGGGGAGACGGTTGAGCGAGCAGAAGAACAGCATGAGAATGTGCCTTGCATACACAAATACTTAGTCTCCAAACCGTTTGCAAATGTAAATATTTGTATACTTTATTAATAACTTAAAAAATGCCTAGAAAGTGCTGTGTGTGCAGTGTAGAAGACAGTCCATTCGACAATCGTAGTTTTCACTTGTAAGTATTAGAATTAAATATTAGTATCTTTTAATCTAAAAAGCAAATAGATAAAATGTTATTGTTGTATTATTGTTGTGTTAATAGGTTTCCCAAAAATGAATTATTAAGACAGAAATGGATCGAAGCAGTGAACTTAACGAAACCTGTAAATTTGAAATACACGTACATGTGTGGTTCGATTCACTTTGATGATAAATATTTTTTTGAGATTGATGCCAACAGGAAAAAGAAGCGTTTACGTCCTGAAGCCATACCTTACAATATCAATAAAAATACATCTCAAAATGTACTAAATGAAAATGAACCAAGTAATGAACCAGTTTCAAAAAAAATTGTCGACGAAGAGTCATTTGTCCAACAAGTAAAAGATGTAGTTTTAAACGAAGAATTTCCAGAACATCTGGAATCTGTTGTGGACAAAGAGTCTTTAAGCCATGATCATACAGATCATACGATTTCATAATCATGATGATGTTTATTTGAATGAGAAATTATCAGAATTTGAGAGTAGTAATGTACAGAAGTCAGACTGCGATGCAAAGAGAAAAAGGTAATGAGATGAAAAATATGTAATAAAAAATTAAAAAACTACATGAATTTTTGTAATTGTAGGAAATCAACAAGTGTTAGTGGAAATTCTCCTCCAAAGAAAATACGCTTCATGAATTCCACAAAAACAGAATATATTAGCAGAGAAGATTTTGTATCAGATGAGGCTTGGAATAAGTTTCTTAGATTCTTGGCGTATGAAAAACGTACGGTAGCTGCTGGACACTGCAAAACGTATCGAAAACAGAAAGAATTGACGAATCTGAAGACTGTGATAAAAAAATTGGAGAGCAGAAATTAAATAACTGCTGCAGCTTACTTGAAGGTTTCATTTTAAATAACTATTACATAAACTTTAAAGGAAATGTTTAATTATTGATTTTTTACACATTATCAGTAATATTCTAAAAATATCTGTTATTACTTTTTTAAGTACATTTTAGATGATACAGTTATAAAGCGATTTTGTTTACAAATAATGTTTTTATTTAATTGATTAAATGATTATGCAAAAGATTTTTATCTTAAACTATATTTACATAAAGAAATATAGTTTGATTTTTTATTTCACGTCACATGTATATAAGACTTTATTTTTAGTATATCAAGCAATTATGCAGATTAAATTTTTTTACAAAACCGTTTTTACTCTATTTTTATTATTTATTATTGTATTATTCGCATTTTTTTACACTTTGAATTTTTTGTAAAATTAAATTAATAATATATATATGAGTAACAAAAAAATTTGTTGAAATAATTTGTATTATGTAATTCATCCGTACACACTACTAACTCTGCCTATTTCCTTAGGTATTACCACCGCATGTTCAAGAATTAATTGCACGCATGAAAAATAAGAAACCTACTGCTCCTTTCCCTGCCAATTTGAAAAATTTCGCCAGATCTCTTCATTTCCATTTTTCAACAGCATATGAATATTTACGACGATCATTTTTAAAATGTTTACCTTGCGATCAAACTCTTAGAAGTTGGTTATATTCAAACAAGTGTAAACCAGGGATATGTGAAGATGTAGTAAATAATGTTTCTAAAGTTGTCGAAAATGAAGAGAAAAAGGGAAAACGATTGCTGTTTAACGTGACTTTTGATGAAATGAACATCAAGCAGCACAAAGAATGGGATAAAAGCACAGGCACGTGGAAAAGTCTCGTTGACTTAGGAGGGCAAGTGACTGAAAACAATGAAAATGGAGAAAAAAAAATAGCTAATAAAGCGTTAGTTTTTATGTTAGTGTGCATTAATGGTATGTTTAAAGCTCCGGTTGCACACAATTTAGTACATTCTTTAAGCGGACTGCAAAAATCAATCTTACTAAAAGATTTATTAACCAAATTGCATGAGAAAAACATAAAGTCGTCAGTGTGACGTTTGATGGTGACAGAACTAATAGGACAGCTTGTGAATCCTTGGGAGCCCGTTTAAATTATAAAGATCAAAGTAATTTTCGACCTTTTTTTGACCATCCAATTACTCTTGAACCTGTTTATATATTTTATGATCCCTGCCATTGTTTGAAACTGGTACGAAATTATTTTGCTTGTAAAGCAAAGGACCAATAGTGTACAAAGACCGTTCCTTCATTAATTGGGTGTATATAAAGAATCTCAATGAAAAGCAGCAAAAAGAGAAATTACACTGTGCGTGCAAAATTCGAAATAGACATGTCAATTTTTACAGAGAAAAAATGAAAGTATTTCTCGCAGCACAAGTGCTAAGTAACAGTACTTCTACAGCTTTACAGTTTTTACAATTTGACTTGAAAGATCCAAATTTTCAAAATTCTTCAGCTACAGCTGAATTTTGCAAAAACATTAACGATATTTTTGATTTATTAAATGTACGCAATAAATTTTGTAAAACTCTTACTCGAGGCAGTATTGATAAAAACTCTTTACAAGATGTACAATTGAAGA